TAAAATGGCTACGTCCATGTTAAAATTTTAAAAATTTACAAAACTAAACAGCCTACAGTATTTTTACAGTCTTTATTTTACAGTTAAAATAAATGTTTATCAAATAAAATCTAATGTTACAACTAATCGTGGATCCCTTTAACATTTGAGCACCAATTGGATGAAATAATCTTCTAATCTAATATGAACCCAAATTAGGACACATTTTGGTGCAAAGCTGTGTCCAAATTCAGGGGCTKCGTCCTTCGAAGGCCGAAWTTTTWAAAAATAAATCTGAGGSCAAAWKTTGAATTGAAACTTTAAATTCAAGCTGGTTTTTGAAAATCATACTCAAAAATTTCAAGATGTCTTGTCTTGGATTTCTTTATAAAACACCATTAAGCTCATTTACAAACATAGATAAGCAATAAAAATTACCCCTAAAAGAAGGTTTTGTCTTAAAGTCTTCATCAGATGAGCAGTCGTTCACTATGAAGTTTTTGAGGCTGTCAAGGAAAGATGAGGAGAATAACTTTTCAGTAAAACAGTTGTGACTCATGGTGACGATGCTTCAAACAAATAAAATAAAACAAAGRCTCACCTATCTTCACTGCCGCTGTCAGATTTTCTTCGGGGTTTCGTGACAGGGGTTTTCACTCGTTCCAAAACTATATTTCACAAACAGAAGCAAAAGATATACAGCGTCACAACGAAATATTACATTTTAGAATAAAAAGAGTCTCGACACTTACACGTCTCAAAGGCGACTTCATCATCGGAGCTCAGCACAAGGACATCTGAGCTGAAAATAAATAAAAATGTTCACATTAACCACACTGCCWATTATTATTTAAAATAACTCCAGAAAATTCCATCCGCTTCATAAAACAYCCTGGTTTTGTTTGCCATACCTGGGCATCTTAGCAGCACTGCAAGGCTTCTGTGATTTTATTTTTGGAGTCAAGTTTTCCACAAGAACTATAAAAAAAGCAATAACAAAATATGAAAACCCCATCATCAGGAGTCTCATCCTAAACAGGCGACGAGGACGGAGATGATTAGGAATGAGATCATCAGAGGGGCAGCACAGTTAATCAACTGGAAGAGAGGTCAGACTAAGATGGTTTGGACATGTCCAGAGGAGAGACAATGGGCCTCATGCAAGAACATGTTCGTATTTTTATCCTAAATTTCTCTTACTTTTGTTCGTACAAAGGGTTCGTACGAACATGTCACATCAAATTCAACAAACACTTCTATCTTCAGGAAACGTGCGTAAATGAGTTGCGTAATTTACGAGGTACACTTCGCTGCAGCATGCAGAACGGGGCGGTGACAGACCTTTCCGTCAGTCCCATACCTTATATGGAAA